GAGCTGCAAGCACGTGAGCGGAGCCTGGCGACTGGAAGCCTTCAGTCTAGTCGCTGATATGATCGTGGTGCTGGGGCTCCTCAAACGCCGGAGTGGAGATGGCTTCTGCTGGGGTAGCAAAAACGCTGCCCAGGTTTCCCCAGAAAGATCCCTCGATCTCTTTAGAAAAGTCCCCTCTGGTCATTTGTTGGCTTGTTGGTTTTGTTTTGTCTGAGGTTAGACTCCTGGTTGCTGGGGGTTCTTGGTACCAGAGTTGAGGAGGGGTGTGGAGTGTGCCCGTTTCACAGATGGACCATAGAGTCACCAGGCTCTGTAAGGTCCTGCCACACGGGGAGGCTCCCTCAGCACCTGCAGGACTCTCCACGCACAGCTGGGCTAAATCTTCTTCCACTCTCTGTTCCTCCATGTACTTTGTCCTCCGGAGACCTGTCAACCTTACCCTCTTGTTCTCTACTTTGGTTTTGGTATTACGCCTCTTCTGTTCCCTTACTATAATTTTAGTTGAGCCCGAGGAGGGAGAGGAAATAAACGTGTGTGCTCAAGTCCCCATCTTGAACCAGTAGCAAGGGCAGGCATTATTATTCCCATTTCACATTTAGAAAACAGGCTCATGGGATTAAGTGACTTACCTAAAATCATGCAGCTAGAAAAGCAAGGACCAGGATTAAGCCTGTATTCTTCCAACTATGCCAAACTACTTCTTTTTGTCCAAACCACAACCCAGCTGGTACGACCCAGAGAAACAAAGTCTTACATAGTACTATGAGCTTTAAAATGCCATCCTTTGTATATAAAAATGATCCAGAAACTTCCCAGACTAAAAAGTGTGCAGTATCATTTTACATAGAGTTATATATCTAGCATGAGAACTTACCAAAGTCATAAAACAGCAGTTTTATATGTTTTGTGGGTCAGGTTTGGGTGGAGTAGAACTTGAGGAGGAAATTGGTAGGAAAGGCTGGATTATCACTGAGTAGTGGTGGCTCGGGCTTGGCACGCTGAGTGCTGCCAGCTCTGTCAAACCCACTTGAGCAGAAGTTACCACTGGGGAACACTTGCTTGAAAGAGGTGGGGCAGACTCTGGAGCAGTGGGGTGAATGGGGGCGACTGCTAGGAAGATAGAGCACCCCGTCTATTTGGAGGCCACCCTCTCACATATATTCAATACTTATGAAGTAACTACTGTGTACCAGAGACTGTAATAGGCTGCAGAGACACCTTCACCTTTAGCCAGGGTAAGAGCCCAAACAGACGAGGATTCCTTCACTTATGGAGACCTCTAGAAATTATAATCCCATAGGATCTCATAGAAACACATCCACTTCATAATGGTTTAAGATTTAAAGTGTGACATGGAATTA